GCGGGAACAAGGGGACTAACTAAGGAACAGCTCGCCAATCATATTTGGCGGAAGGGATCAAAATTTTTGACCAGTCCAGAGGAAAGGTGGCAATGCCCAATGTACACCTTTACGCTTGATTTTACCGAGGGCCCTATTCTAGATACAAGTTCTACGGTACAAACTTCCGAGGATGCAATGACAATTAATATGCTAGAAACTGAAGAGCGAAGAGTAGGTCCATTAGTAAACGAAAATCGCTTAAACTCAATGAGGGCCGCAAAACGAGTTATAGCTATAGAACTCATTTTTATAAAAAGACTACTGCGGGTATTACCTTCCCCCCGCTTGAAAACAGTCCTCCATAATATACCGGAATTTAAAGTCATTCCAGAAATATTAACCCAACTAGGCGGAGAGGCAATACAAGCAGCTCGTCTGGCTCTCATCCGTAATCACCAAACCATACACTTTGGAAAAACCTATAGGAAGACCCTGGAGATACACTCCGTCCATTCTTAGATAAGAACCTCATTTGGAGGTCAAGAGGACGCCTAGGAAATTCAGACCTAACAGAAGAGGAAAAATATCCCATCATCCTTGTACCAAACACATTTTTAGCCCAACTCGTAATCAAAGAGGCGGACGATACCACCAAGGGGTCGAACATACTATGGCTACAGTACGATCACAGTACTGGATACCTAAGCTGAGACAACAAGTGCGGAAACTAACTCTAAGATGCGTCCAATGTCGACGTTTCAACGGACTCCCATACCCCTATCCAGACTCCGGTGACTTACCCCGAAGACGGGTATGGAAAAGTCGACCATTTCAACACATAGGATTGGACTTCTTCGACTTGCCAGAACCAACGCAAAATAGCGAAAACGCCAAACCATCCGGATGCATCTTTACATGTACAGTCACTCGACTCATTCATCTCGAACTCATCCAAAGTATGGGTACTGAGGATTTCATAAATGCGCTCCGACGTTTCGTCGCACGAAGAGGAGTACCCGATACCATTACGTGTGACAATGCTCCAACCTTTTTACTCACCGCCAAAATTTTATCAGACGAACATCGCATTCACGGAGATGTCTTAAAAGAAGTCTCAGACAAAGAAATACAGTGGAACTACATAACATCCTATGCTCCGTGACAAGGAGGATTTTATGAAAGACTTATAAAATCAACCAAGCACGCGTTGTATAAGGCTCTACGAGGCACAACTTATAAAATCAATCAAGCACGCGCTGTATAAAGCTCTACGAGGCACAAATCAAAGATCAATGGAACATCTTCGCACATCGCTAACCGAAATTGAAGCCAGTTTGAACACAAGGCCACTTACCTACATGGGGGCATCACAGGAAGAATTAGCATGTGTCCGACCAATCGACTTTCTACAAAGAGACTTGAATATCACATTACCACATGACGCTTTGAAACCCGACTTATCGAAGGATCCTGACTATCACACTCCAGAAGAGATTCGAGAACTTCAGACCCGTCAAAAAGTATTAGAAGCACTTCATTCTTCCTGCAAATCAACAGAACGTTTCTGGACAATCTGGCGCGAGCAGTACCTAGCAAGTCTCAGAGAAAAACACAAAAGGTCGCCAATAAACAAAAGAAGCGGACAAATAATTCCAACAGTAGGCGACGTCGTATTACTAAGCGACCCGGTACTTCCAAGGAACAGCTGGAGAATGGCACGAATCACGAAATTGCATTCAGGTAACGATGGAAGTATTAGGGAAGCCGAACTCATAACGGCCACAAAAAGAAAGATTCGACGACCACTTAACCTTCTAATACCTATGGAAATACAAGACCAGAAAGATGACGACTACCAAAAGGATACCGAACGTAAGGAAGATCCGCCTACAGCTACACACCATTATAATTTACGAAAGCGACCTCCGAAGGAACCGTTGAAGACTACTGCTTTAGTAACATATTCCTCCAAATCCAAACCGTCGGCGAAATGGTTTTTATTCTATCTAATGCTACTCACGCTGATCAACACTAGCTCAGGAATGCGATCCGAAGTCATAAAGTTAGAATGCACAGAAAAAGGAGTGGAAGTTTTGACTTCGATGAAGAACAAAACTATTGAAATCTGCGCGGAGCATCATTGCAGAACGCACAATATCATTCAAGAAAGGCAACTCATAAAGTTTCCTGCGGACATTACTATCCACGACTACTCTGTACGGATAAAACTGCGCGGAGCATCATTGCAGAACGCACAATATCATTCAAGAAAGGCAACTCATAAAGTTTCCTGCGGACATTACTATCCACGACTACACTGTACGGATAAAATGGAATAATGAAGGAAGACTAGCTACAATAGAAAGTAAATGTCCAGGAATAGACTTTTGTGAAAATATAGACTGCTTTTTCTGTGCGCACGTTCTCTTCAACCCAGAATGCTACCCACTTCGAGCATTACTCATAGTTATGTTGCTACTATATGGCCTTGTGGCAGTGGGCTACACATTACTATACGTCCCTATGACGATAGGAAAACCCATAAGACTCCTCTTATTAGGAACAAAATGGATCGTTACTTACATTGGAAGACAAATAATACGCTGTTTCTACAAGACACTACGCCTTTTGTTGAAAAGACGCCGCAGAACCCACCACGACAGGATTCTAGCTGCCTTGGCCGTAAGCACGTGTCTCATACTGCAGCCGCTCCCTGCGACGAGTACGTGCCAGCAGGTGAACGTTCTAGAGCATAACTCCACAATTTGCTCGTCAAACGCGGGAAAAGAGAAATGCATCATCAGACTAATAGAAATGCTGAAGCTCAACTCATTCAAACAAGAAGCATGCTTAAGAGTCACTCACGGGACGTCTTTGATATCGATATCGATGAAAAACCGGTCAACACGGATTTTTTGCAAGTAAAACGAGAGATTCAGACTCAACTTCAAACCATTGAAAAAATCTTCAGACAGTTAGAACTGCTTGACGATGAAGTTGGGAGACAGGAGTATATAGAAACTAAGAAATTCGAAATAAAAGTGTTGAAGGAATTAACAACCATACAGAAGAAGCTGGACCACATGCACATCCATGTCGGCCGTGGAAAAACGGTGAGGCCGGGGGGAGGCGTCTCAAGCGACCTTAGCCTGCAGTATGGAATTGACTTCAATTACCCCTATTATTCAGATTCTGAACATTCTGACGAGAAGAAAGAAGGGACAGATGAGAAGACTCTGGAATAGGGGACCCACCGCAGCGCAGGAAAGGAAGGACCTAGGGATATACCTAAACTAGTAGACCCCGACGAATCCATAGACTCGGATCGCTCCATCGGAAGTCGTGAACAAGAATCGGGGAGGATTCAAGAAAATGTGGCATTTCTTGAGCCACTACTAGGAGAAGAAGTAAATATTGACTCCAAGGACCAGCAGGCGATGGAGGTCGAGGAATTGGTGGAGGTGGACGATGCCTTAGGGGAAGAAGGGGAAACAGACTCGGATGTAATGGTCATTCCACAAGAAGAAGTTAGGCCCCGAGAAATAGAGGTGGTTCAGGAAGAACCAGTCAGACT